TCTTAATGATGGTAATTGGGAGTGTCAGAACTGTTGTCACTGAGCTGCGTGGTCACATGATGTCTTGCTTTGTGACCACATTGGTTAGTGATAGAATTTTCGGTTCCAAATCTTGTCGCTAAGTAAAGACTACCTGTAATAAAGATAACAAAGGGGTAACAATGACTTCCAGCTGTACTTTGTCTTAAGGGGATTCCTTCCAGCTGCTTTTTCCTATCCTAGAACCAGTAAGAATTAATTCATCGATCCCTTCTCAGGTCTTTGGGAAGGATTCAGTGTGGATAAAAATGTCAAATCCATTCTAAATAACTGGCTGACTGTGTGAATCACACAATAATGATTTGCTTGGCAATTTGAAGCGCAAGAGTGACATCATGTGGTTCATTCAAAGACCCACATTGTCTTGACATTTGCTAAATGGAACTAGACGGATGAAGGCCGAAAATCTCTGTTCCCATCACTTCTAATCCTAGTCTGGTATTTGAACAATGAGCATTTTTCAGGATTGTCCAGAAGGAGAAAAGGGAAAAAAGAGAGAAACTAATACAAATGCTCAGCTAGAGGAAGCCTGGACATTAGTAACAATGATCATATCTGCTCATAACTGAAGCAGGAAGAGGCAGGAAAGAGTACTTTGAAGCTCCAAGGAACAGAAAACCAAGTCAATGGTAGAGTTTCTAGTACAGATAGTCCTCACCTTAAGACCACAATTAAGCCCAAAATTTCTGCTGCTAAGTAAAACATTTGTTGTGTGATTTGCCCCATTTTACGACTTTTCTTGCCACAGTTGTAAAGTGAATCACTGCAGTTGGTAAATTAGTAATATGGCTGTTAAGTGAAATTGATTTCCCCATTGACTTTGCTCATCAGAAAGTTGCAAAAGATGATCACATGATCCCGGGACACTGCAACCGTCATAAATATGAGTCAGTTGCCAAAGTCTGAATTTTGTTCACATGTACATGGGGATTCTGTCATGGTCATAAATGTGAAAAATGGTCATAAGTCATTTTTGTTAGTAATGTAACTATGAACGGTCGGTAAATGAACTATTGTAAGTCGAGGACTACCTGTATTCATGCAACATTGCACCAGGTATGAGTAACACAAAGAAGGAACTGAAAATCCTATTAGAGGAAAGCACTAAAAGATAATTAGATATCATGAGGTGAGTTTCCTGATTAGAATATTAAACTTTTGAACAAACTTTTTGTTTGTTCAAAATAAAGAAACCAAAAATAGAGACAGTCTTTTATATAAAGAAGCCACATGTCCATAAAGAACTTAATGTCCCTAAAACTGGACCTCCATTCAAATTAACAGGAAAAAGAGAGAAAAGGTGACTCTGTAAGTTTTATACAAGTCTCTCTTCTCTAGACAACGGGACAATCCCTTTCTAAATCAACTCACAAATATCCTGGTATCTTCTTACTCATTTATGCACTGGTAATCCAAGAGGTATATGACCAGGGCTTTTTTTCTCATAGAACTCCCAGAACGGAGTTCCGGCACCTTTTTTGGATGGAAACTTGTAGGGTAGGCAAGGCGGGTTGTATGACGTGTATGAGTTCCGGCATCTTTTTTTTTTTTTTACAAAAAGAGCACTGTATGTGACAATTTCAGAATGCAAAGAAAGAAATTCACCAAATCCTAATCAATGGAGAACAATTCATGCACGGTCTGAAAATGTCAGGCCTTTCAGGGGACAGCAATCATGTCATGTTGGAGTCCCAAATGACTAGAGGACAAAAAGTTAACAGAAGTCACTCCTTTCCCTGGACTTCAGAATGGTTTCAATACATTCAGGTGAAAGTTCGGCACTGTATCACGGCTTGAAATCCTGAAGAAGAAACAAGAGATCCTGTTCTAAATTTCAAACGCTTTCTCTGCATCTCAAAAACTCAATGCAGCTCGTTTTTTATTACGTTGTTCCAAATTTTCCAAAACGCTCAGCACATTTTTCTTTTGTAACATCGTACTTTAACTGTCTTTTATGTAAAAACCCACAAGGATACTCATAAATGAATTCTTGCAAAATTATTTTCAGTCTTTCAGCTGGAATCATTGTGAACAAGAGTCGTAAGACAGAATTCAATTCGTTGTGTTTCATAAAGATTTTTGAAAGTTTATCCTCAAAACATTTGTAATTATAATGATAACGTATCTGACCCAGGCACCTTTCCTGCAGCATTTTTATAATTCCCCAAACTTCCTTTATTCATAATTTTCGTAACTTCCAAAATTTCCCTTATTGTCATAAGTTCGTTCATAAACTTTCTTCCTCTGTAATGCTTTGTAGAATTTTTTGCAAAGAAATAACACATCCTTTATAAAAATTGGAATACTGATGAAATATTTTTTTGCATACCCACATTATCCATTAATACAGTATCTCTGTTTTGAAGTTTCAGCATCATTCTATTTTTCTTTTCTAGTTTATATGGCAACCATTTCTCTTTCTTTTTCGCAAAGTCAAAGGTTGGTTTTTTTTTTTTTTTTGCTTTACATGGTTTATTTTTATATCCATTTCACTTAATAATATAGATAGCTGTTGCTGTAAAAGCTTAATTTGTTAAAGAGATATTTACCTTCTCTGGAAGTTTCTTTAATCTTTTCTTTTGATCTCATCCAAAATATTTGGGTTTTCCTTTGCCTCCTCTTCTTGAGTTATTTATGTTTTATAAAATACGGTAATCTCTAATAAAGGCTTTTATTTGCATCCAAAGCCATTCTCAAATCAAGTTGTAACACCTTATATTTAATTCATGGATTTTTCCTGCCATACAAATTTAGAATTGCCCTACAAATTTAGATTTGCCTTTTGCTATTGTTGAATGGTGCATCAGTTGTCAAAATAGGTATTGTTTGAAACAAAAATAACATTTTAGGTAAAACATTCAACTTAATCACAGAAATTCCTCTCAGTAATGAAAATTTTATTTTCTCTTAACGTATTTTTTTAAAATTTCATTCCATGTCTTAAGATAACTATTTTGGAATAATATACAATTCATATTTGTCATAGTGATATTCAACTATTCTGCCTTTTTCTCAATCTTAAAGCCTATTTTATCAATTTTGTTTGATCTTGTATTTTCATATTTTTTGTTAACATCTATGATTATTATTGTAAAAACCTGCTAATGAATCCTAATTCTTTTGCCTATTGTTTGAAATCCCTTTAAAGGATCTTCTAGACCAGCGGTTCTCAACCTATGGGTCGCGACCCCATTTGGGGTCGATCGACCATTTCACGGGGGTCACCAAGCAAGGCTGTCCGCCATTTTTTCCCTTTTCCGGCAGGTGCCTTACCTCCCTTGGGGTGGGCCAGCTGGTGGCCCAGCCAGTGGTCAGCCTGCTCCATCTCTGCCGCTTGCCAGCTACGCCTCGGCCAGTGCAGGGGGCGGCACCACGCATGCATGGCGCTCCCGGGCAGGGAAAGTCCTCGACTTACGACCGGTTGGGTAGTTCTCGACTTACGACCGGTTTAGTCCTCGACCTATGACCGGTTTAGTCCTCAACTTACGACCGGTTGGGGGTCACAGCATTAAAAAAGTTGAGAACCAGGGTTCTAGACCCAATAACAAGTCATCTGCAAAAGCTCTTGATTTATAAGTCTTTTTAAAAATCTTTCCTCCCAAAATATCTCATCCTGGCTTATGTCTCTATTCAGTGTATCAAGAACCAAAATAAATGGGAGTGTTAACAATGGGCAGCCTTGTCTTGTTCCTTTTTGTATCTCACATGGTTTTACTAGATACCCATTAACAATTATTTGTGCTTTCTGTGAAGTATAAATTGATTTTACCCATTCTATAAAATTATCTTCAAAATTCGTATTTCCCAAACTTAAAAAAGACAGAATCCTAGTGGGCTCCCTTTTGAGTGGAGATTTTTAAACTGGGGCTGGATGTCCACCTTTTGGGATGGAGACCTAAGTACTTTCAAAATTCTATATTTTATACTTCAAATTGCTGGAAATCTTATCCAGTTCACCTTCTGCTAGGCAAGTGACCAGGATTCAGGCTAGGATTCAGTGAAAGCCACTTACCTTAGTCTTTCTCTATTCTGCATTGATTTATTAATCCCATTACGCCATCCAACATAATTAATCCAATTGTGGTTAATTAAAGTTCTAATGCAGTGGTTCTGTGGGTCGGGACCCCATTTGGGGTTGAACGACCATTTCACGGGGTCGCCAAACAACGCAGTCCGCCATTTTTCCCCCCTTTTCCTTAGCTGTGCTACTCCCTTTTATTCTATTGGCTTTTGAAAGCCAATAGAATAGAGTCTCTTGAATAGAGTCTAATTCTATTGGCTTTCAAAAGCCAATAGGAATTGTCCAGGCTTTGTCTGCCCTGCTGAGCCTGCCAAAAGTCTGCAAACGGTGCTGCACCAATTGAGTAGTCCTCGACTTATGACCGGTTGAGTAGTCCTCGCGACATTAAAAAGGTTGAGAACCACTGTTCTAATGCAACATATCAGGAAATTCTAAGATTGGGAAGGGGTATGATATGCTGTGGGGATGAATAGAATGATTCAATAGAAATATTTATTGGTGTGTCCCATTAATAATCTAAAAATGCACTGTGAACTTTCACTATCACAAAGTTTCTGCATTATTCTTTTTCTTTGATATGTTTTTTTAAAGGGTAGATTAAAAACAATGAAAAGGAATGTAAAGTAAGAAAAAAAAAAGAGAAAAAAGAGAAAGCTAAAAGTGCAAGAAAGGAGAAAAAAACAAAAAGAAAAAAATAAAATAGAAAGAAGATATAATTAGCTTCCAATCTTATTTACAGCAGTTTTAAGTAAATTATACATTTCTCTCTTATTCTATGGTTACAACGTAAGGTTCTTCTTTCTACAATCTGTCCTGTCCAATCATCAAAACCATAAATCAGACATTCATTTTTCCTGATCATGCAAATTGTCTATAAAGGCTCTTGATTTTCTACATTAGTCTTGATGCCAAGGAAATGGGTGGAAAATAAGACAAGATATTCAGTCTCCAATTCAATTTAATTTAATTAAGTGGCTCTGTACAGCCCAAGATGGATAGGGAAATTACAGAAACAAATATCTGTGGGTCAGAGTTTCAGAAAATACTTTCATCTTTTCGTATTCATCTCCCTCCTCCATTTTCAAATGTCCCCAAAGTACCATTCCGGCACACAATTAATAGGTTTCTCCTCCCAAATGGTCTGCAGCCGTTTGAGCCATGAAGTCAACATCTGTTGTCTTTTCTCTTCTGTCACATACTCAGGGGCAAAGCAGATCTGAGGGGAAAGGATACTGAAGCCACAGAAGTGTAAGATTCCATGCTGGAATTAAACAAGAAAGAGACACAGTAAAAATCATAATGTTTGGCTTGTGATTAGACCATGGCTGATGCAGTTTTAAAAAAAACAAACAGTAATATTGTAAAGTTGAATTTACAGTAGTTTCCCGGCAAAGTTGCAAGAGGGAGCCCGAATAAATAAATACATACATAAGTAAATAAGCACAGAGTTCCAGTGCATTTGTAGGTTTGTATGGCAGCAAATTTACCAACTTAAGAATTCCAGTCCCAGATAAGTGAAGGCTTTAAAGATAATTATAAGTATTTGGAATTCCACTTCACACATATTGGTCAATAGGCCAAGTGAACCCTATTCCCTGGTATATTTGTCCAAACAATTACCTATTATGGCTATTCCAGTGAATTTTTATACAGCTCTTATGGACAACATAGATACAGCAGGTTCATGGCGCTTCTCAACCACATGAAGAATGCAGGCTTAGGAGAATTAAGAGTTTGCAACTTTATCAGGCCTGACTGAATCATCTATCCACCCATTTATCTTCCTGCTTGCTTACTTACACACTTAGATAGCTTATAAACCATTCCAATCAACTAAATATGAGTGATTTAGAACTCCCTAAACTTGTAATTAAAAACAAATACACAATCAAATTTTAAACTTTCATCAATACGTTAGCTTATGGAAGAGAAGGAGGACCATTGTCATTCTTCTATAACAGTGTTTCCCAAACTTGACAATTTTAAGGCATGAGGACTTCAACTCCCAGAATTCCACATGCCTTAAAATTGTCAAGTTTGGGAAACACTGTTCTATAATATCCATTAGTCCTGCAACTGGCTATGCCAGCTAAGACTAAAAGCAGATGTAATCCAGCAACTAATGCAGATTGAACTGAATTGAAAACCTTCTGAGTTCAAAATAACCCAATTCAACTATAAAATTCCTGTTCAGTTCTCAGTGAGTGTTCCAGTTCTATTCCTGCCATTGCAGAAGTGTTCTGAGCACTAATCTGGACACCTTTTTGAGCTTGAAACACTTCTAGAATTATTGGAGCAGAGTTGGGAGGTGTCCATGAACTTGGAATGTTTTGCCCATCCCTGTTAAATGGCCAAGAAGCTGAACTTTATTTAGCCAACTCCTATCTCCCTAAATCAATGGCTATACCAGTGATGGTGAACCTTTTAGAGACTGCCCTGCCACCCCGCCCGTCCCGCTCCATGCCTCACCCATTCCGCCCTGCCCCCCGCAAGGCCACCCACCGCCTCCACGGCCCACCACAGCAGATCGCCCAGGCGGCCCAGCATCGCCTTGGCAGCCATGCCCTCCACCTGCGTCTCACAGCATCATCTGCGTGCGATTGGGTGCAAGGGTGGAGTCTTGTCCCCGCTGCCCAGCTGCCATGTTCTTGGTTGTGCTGCTCCGCGCAGACTGCGCTCAGGGGTGACTCTCCTCCAGGGGGGCTGCTGGTGAGAAGGGGGCCAGGGGGAGGCGGGGCTGGGGCAATAGCACATGTGCCCACAGAGAGGGCTCTGAGTGCCGCCTCTGGCATGCGTGCCATAGGTTCGCCACCACTGGGCTATACACTGGCCAGGCTTCATATTCCATGCAAGCAGGAAGGGAAGTTTGAGGAAAGAAAAAGGAAAAGGATTTGTTCTGAAAGGCTTCCTAGTTCAGTTCCCTTAGGTATATGCATAGGACATATGTCTCTAAAACATTAATGCTAACATGAAAATGTTTTTTATGTTCTCAGTTCTGCTTTGGGAAGATCATTGGCAAAAGCAACATATTTAGAAACATAAAAGGACATTGGCTGTTTATTGATCATATTATTCTTCATGATGTGGGCAAAATAAAGAAAAGCCAGTGCCAAGAGATTCCTCCCATTATGTTTTGAAGCCCTAGTCATATAGAGCAGAGCTCCCCAGCCTTTCCAACTTGGCGGCCTGGAAGGAAAGGGAGGAGCAGGGAAATGTGCACACACACTGCAGCGCTAGCATGCACACATGCACAAATGGGCCATGAGCATCTGTGCAAACAGGCCGCTGGCATCTGCGCATATGTGTAAACAGGCCACTAGCGCCGGTGTGATGCTGGTGGCGGTGCTAGTGCACCCGTGCATGTGCAAATGGGGCCACTAGTGCCCATGTGACAGTACTACCACGAGTGGGAGGGGGACTCGTCAGTTATTCCCATGGCCCAGTGGCCAACAAGCCATGGTCCACAGTACCGGGCCGTGGACCATAGGTTGGGGACCCCTGATAAAGAGGGAAAGTGGGACTGCTGCTTTTGCTTGTACTGTAACTACTCATTCATGAAGGATGACTCCATATTTCTTGGATTCTTATTCAGAGATTGCTGGCTGGAAAATCTAGAAGCTGCAGTCCCAACAGACCCCAAAAAACATCACCTTGAGGAAGACCACAAAGCAAGAATTAGAGAAGACACCGGTAGGTTGGGGAGAACAGAAAGTCTGTCCAGTGGTAAGCGTAGCTGAATGTTTGTATCAGTTAGCTGCACAGTGTGCTTGCTATAATTGGCTGACCAAGATCTCCTGAAAAACTGAAAGAGGAATTCAGCGCCTACCTAATTCTCCAGAAGCCAGGTCTGAGCCAGCATTTGCATTTAGTCTCCACTTACCTGCATGGGCCAGAGAAGGTAACGGATATTATCACTGGGTCCTCTCCTTGAATACATTTCTTCGTCTCCTCCAGTGGTAAATGAAAGTAAAGCTAATTTATTCTGGAATAGAACACATGCTTTATGTATATATTCTAAATTAATACTCAAACCAAAGCCCCCACAGTGCAACATACAGGATACAGCTTAAACCACAACAAAGTTACATTGCAATGTGATTCAAAAAACATTAGAACAGTATCCTTTAGAACAGTGGTTCTCAACCTTTTTTAATGCCACGACCTCCCAACCTGTCGTACGTCGAGGACTACTTAACCGGTCGTAAGTCGAGGACTACTCAACTGGTGCAGCACCGTTTGCAGACTGGGACTTTTGGCGGGCTCAACAGGGCAGAGACAGCCTGGACAATTCCTATTGGCTTTTGAAAGCCAATAGAATTAGACTCTATTCAAGAGAATCTATTCTATTGGCTTTCAAAAGCCAATAGAATAAAAGGGAGTAGCACAGCTAAGGAAAAGGGGAAAAAATGGCGGACTGCGTTGTTTGGCGACCCCCGTGAAATGGTCGTTCGACCCCAAATGGGGTCCCGACCCACAGGTTGAGAACCACTCCTTTAGAATAAATTAGAAAGCATTTCAGAAAGCTGCATTATGTTTTAAAAATATGAAATAAGGTTTTAAAGGCCAGTTTAAAATCCTAAATTGATAGAGCTATACAGTTAGTACTTTAGCAAAACTCCATAAACAACCGTCAATAAGGCCAGCCAATTGACTGCCAATTGGGCCAAACTTCACTAACAGGGTACAAGTTTCCATAGCTGAATTCAGGTTAATATGTTAATTATACATTGAGTGCATCTGAAATACATTTCTTTATTATAGGGTTTTTTCCAAGTTCTTTATTTTGAAGCCAATTTTTCATGCAGTTAAATTTTTGAGATCTTTAATTTGCCATAGATTCAGTGTTTCTAGTGGCATAGATGGTAGTTCAAAGCAAATTTTTGACATTGCACTGATTAGGAAATATCAGCCAAAAATAACGAAAAGATTTATTATAAATCTATTGGCTTTCAAAATTCCTTTCAAAGCTGCCAATTTCTAAAAAACTGAGCATTGCCAATGAAAACAGCACATTTGTAAAGAACTGGCTACAACTAGCTGGCTATATCGACTACTAAGATGCTGTAGGTAGGAGGTTTACGCTTCATATCATGCAGTTTTAGCAGAGTGTTGTGCCACGTATGAATAATCACCATGATCAATTCTTGAGGATTTGCTAAAGTAGATTTAAAAGGAATTTGGTACCACAGAGAGTTATTAATGAAATTTATCAACCTTAAATCAAATTTCCAGAATGTTTATAAGACTTTCAAGAGAAAACTTGTCATATTTAGTATAAATGTTTTATGTAACACTGATGAAATTCCTTTGCTATTAAATATTCATGTAATCTACCTTCAGAGGTAGATTACATGAAAAATTAATTCTGGGAGTTGAAGTCCACACATCTTAAAGTTGCCAAGTTTGAAAAACACCACCTAGATCGCGGTTCTCAACCTGTGGGTCGCGACCCCATTTGGGGTCGAACAACCATTTCACGGGGGTCGTCAAACAACGCAGTCCGCCATTTCCCCCCCCCTTTTCCTTAGCTGTGTTACTCCCTTTTATTCTATTGGCTTTTGAAAGCCAATAGAATAGACACTCTTGAATAGAGTCTAATTCTATTGGCTTTCAAAAGCCAACAGGAATGGTCCAGGCTGTCTCTGCCTGCTGAGCCCACCAAAAGTCCCATTCTGTAAACGGTGCTGCAAGTTGTCTGCAGCGAAGACGAGCTGTCTGGAAGTTTCCACCCCTCCCTGCTGAGCAACTACTAAAAATGTAAGTAAAAGAGAGCCAGGGGTGGGAGGCCGGCGGGCGCAGGGAGGGTTGCTGGTGCATGTGGGGCCCGGTGGGTGCCTTACCTCCCTTGGGCTGGGCCAGCTGGTGGCCCAGCCGGTGATCGGCCTGCTCCGTCTCTGCCACTTGCCAGCTACACCTCGGCCGGTACAGGGGGCGGCACCATGCATGCGCAGCACTCCCGGGCAGGGAAAGTCCTCGACTTACGACTGGTTGGGGTCACGGCATTAAAAAGGTTGAGAACCACTGACCTAGATGCTTTACCTAGAAATGACTGACCTTGCTTGGTTTGCAGTCAGATTGATATTTGTGACCATTCTGTTTGTGAAATACATTCCATAGTCAAAGGGTTTCTATTATTATATCTTCTATTTTAGTTGGTTCCTTACTTATACTTTGTTAATTATCTTCAGTAGAGATACAAAGGCAAGATATTAATGTCAGTAAAATCTTAGTTTAGTGTACACTTATAGGCCACCTACCTTGAGTAAACCAGAATCATAACACTTTGGGAAATCATGAGCAAATCCTTGGACTAAGACTCTGTCCATCCAGCCCTTCAGGATGGCTGGCATGCTGAACCAATATAAAGGAAACTAGATAGGATTACAAGAGAGAAAGGAATAATATACTTGGCTTTAAAATACCCATAAACATCAACCTCTTTAGAAAGGCAACAATCGAGCAGGACGTATTGCAAATACGTATAAATTAACAAAGTCTGGCATTATTATTACAACATTGTGCCTCTTAACATAGATCCTTCCAGATCAGTATAGTGCAGTGGTGGTGAACCTATGGCACGTGTGCCAGAGATGGCACTCAGAGCCCTCTCTGTGGGCACGTGCGCCATGCCCGAGATGGCAACCGTCCCTCTTCAACCAGCTGCCACTAACTCACCGAGGTCCCAAATGGCCAGCTGCATCCCAGCGTGGCTGGTTTCCCTCCCCCCCTCCCATCCCTCCTGGGCTTGCATGCTTTCCTTTTCCTGGGCACGACCCACTGCATCGTCTTCTCAGCTGTTGGCCGGCCATCAGAGGCGGCTTCTCTAAACTGCTGGTGGCGGGCCGGGGAGCCCCAGAATGTTCCGGTCGAGGGGCTGGCAGGCTGTGGCTGCTGACGGACACTGTCAGCCCCCATGCGCTGGCTGGCCTGTGTGTGGGGGGCTGATGGTGTCAGGCAGCAGCCGCCCTGGCCCCTGCCTTGCCTTGCCCTGCGACAATGGCACCCCCGCCCTGCTTCGTCTCACTCTGCAGGATGAGCCTCCTGCCCCACCTGCCAGATCCACCTGGATCTCCCTCAACACTGCCTGGCCCCCACAGGCAACATCAAGGTGACCACGCCTACCTTGGCCATACCCACCCAGCCTGCCATGACCACCACAGCCACGCCCACCCAGTGGGCCACGCCCACCTGGCACCTGGAGATACATAAGTGGGTTTTGGGTTGCAGTTTGGCACTCGGTCTCTAAAAGGTTCGCCACCACTGGTATAGTGATTGGCAACACACACTAAGGGTCAGATATATCCCTTCAGCAAATGTTTTTATCTACATCAGAAATGGGGGAACTATGGCACATTTATGACTTGTGGACTTCAATTCCCAGAATTCCTGAGCCAGCATGGCTGGCTCAGGAATTCTGGGAGTTGGTACGCAAGTCATACAAAGGCCATAGTTCCCCATCCCTGATTTACATTATCTGAAACAATCATTTTTTCTTACTTGCTCAATAATAATTAAAATTTAAAAATATCTGCCTTTATTCTGAAACAAAACCAGATTTATATACAAAGCACAGAATTGGGAAAGTTAATCAAAATAGATTAATCTATTGAACTGTCACTCCTAACCTATTCCCTAGATGTATGCATGTAGACATTCGCTTATCCCAACCAACTTGACCCCAGATTGAATGGCAGAAATGGAAGATGGACTTCGACACATCTGGAGGACAGCTAGTTCAGAATGTTGAAGAACATTCTACACTCACCAGCACCTATTGGACCAAAATGTAAGGGATAATATTTGAAAAGTTCTTAAATGATATGATCAAACCAAAGCAAGCACAAACCTAAAACTACTCTAAATTCCAAAGTTATATCAACATGATCCAAGCTCTTAAACCAATTTGATCCAGCAACGGAAGTCTCACACAAACAAGCTTTTGGAAAAAATAATGACCTGGAAAATCACCAAGTCGGCTTTGTTCACTTTCTTTTGCTCCTCAATCAAATCTTCAGTCAGACATCCATTTTCATAAGCTTTCCAGGCCTCAGTTCCATAATTAAAATGATCAGGATTGTATAATTCACCTATGGGCACAACATGACACAATCTAGTTGCATTTGAAGTTACCATCCCATCTTTTTTAAACATAGGATCTCTGTCATCTTTCACTTAGATTAACTCAGATCGCAAAATATCATGTAAAATGTTAAAGAAACGGAGGACGCAGGAAAATCAGTATTTTTCTAGAAGTCTAACAGCCCCCAGATTAGTTTGGATATTAGAACTCACAGCCTGAGCAAAAAGAATTCTGTTTACCCCTCATTTTCTTCTTTTCAGCAGTATTATTTTGAAGGAATGGGAAAGTGCTTTGCTGCTGTTATTGTTAAACAATTGGAGTCAAAGGATGCTGTTGGAAAACTCCTGAAATCTTTGTTCATGACCCATCCATCCTTCACTCAAGTCATTACCTTATTAATTTTACATACTGTAAAATTGATTTGGCTAACAAACACATTTTTTCCATATACAATTCTTGTATCTCAGTAAAATGTATTCTTGGGACAGTTTCTTGGAAATACAAACCACAAATGTACTTCTACCTCATCAATGGCACCTACCAACTATATCTTTCTTAGTTGTTCTTGGCTCAAATTGCATTTCATACAAGTCTGAAACAGTGACTGTACAGCCTTGCTTCTTCAGTTCTTCCACTGTCAAGGTTTTAAACGAACCATTTAGAGATTTGGGCTCTTGGTGTGCATAGACAATCAATACGTCTTTCCCTAATGTTTAAAAAGATGAAGAAAAGCAATATTTACTTAAAATAGGAATTCCAAAGGCAGATAAAAATCAAGGTGAGAAGATTTTCTGCAGTCAGCAACAGCATTCTGGTTTGAACATGTAGAAGCCTGTAACTGCTTTTTTTTTTTTAAATCATTCTTATTTTTTTATTTTATCTTTTTATCAGTCAGACCAAGGAAGATTTTTTTTTTAATGCTTTTGTATTGATCTTAACTCCTGGTAACTATCTGTACAATGTCCTGTCATTTTCTTAGCAAGATTTAGGAAGTGTTTGCCATTACCTGCTCCCTAGGGCTGGAATTGAGTGAGTGGACCAAGGCTATTTAGGCGTTTTGTGTCTAACACCTCCCTAGAACTCACAATCTCCCAATTTATATGCCGATGCCTCAACCATTACACCAAGCTGGCTGAAGGTAGCTCTTCCTATCCTGATTTTATCCTACAGCAACCTTTTGGTGTTAGATTGAGTTAGCGGTGATTGGCCCAGGGCCATTTCATATAGTTTCTAGTCAGGATTCTTTAAATATAATATTTTAAAATATAAAACAATGTAATCTGTTTGTTACCCATTGATACCACCATCTCTGTTGTTCCCTGACCCAGCTAACATTTCCTCTTATCATTTCTTTAAAAAACAAAATGGAAAGATGGCTCACTGCACCTTTATTTTCCCAAAGGCTTTTGGACTCCTCCTAGACCCCATGGCATTTTAGGAAATAAAAATAGATAGCTGAAATTTGTAAATATCACCCCTCCCCCCCCCCACACAATGACCATTTGGAGAGAACATTCATAGTACTCTCCAAGTATCTCTGTCTGCCAGTCCAGTTGCGTGTCACTGTGGAAAATGAGGGGATCTAGGGGGACATCTTAATTCTCCTTTGATAGAAAGATGATAAAAGTACAACTTACCGGCCATTTTTTCAACACCTTGCAAGTTTGTCGCAGTTGAGAAAATGTGGTTTTGAAAGATTCTTGTCAAGACGGTTTACAAAAAGAAAGATAAATACTAAATTCCTTTCCTTGGTTTTCAAAAACAAATATTACTTGAATGAATAATGAGAACCACACAAAAAAAAAAATAGACATACAAACTTAAGCACAAGAGCATCAGCAAAAATATCCTAGCTTAATAGCTCTTGGCAGTAGAAAAGGAAGCGACTTTTAATTCCCTCTCTCTCATTCCTATCCAAGTCCCAAAGCAAAGCAAAGTAGATTCAGTTTCCTGAGATCTCTGGAATACCCGAGGATCCACCATCTGGAAAAAGGGGAATGAGAGTTTGCTGCTATTTGCACGCGCTAGGGATGAGATGTGGACCAATCTGCCACAGCCTAGAATGCAAGATCAAGAAGAGGAAACTAATCAGCCTATCGGAAAATAAATATTTTTAAAAAAACCCTTTCAAAGTGTAAAACATTTCACCCATTTTATGATTATGCAGTTTTGCCTTACCACACCTTACCTTAACACTGGCTTTCCAGTGTTAACACAAGTACCGTCATGGAGGATTTTATACCATTTTATACTGTATTGCACCGCTTCCTCAGAAGTAAGCTCTGTCCGTGACTTTACTTCCAGGCAGCTGGCTTTCTACCTCCGGTCGTTCGAAATAACCTGCGTTGACTTATTAGCCCAGCTAATTCACGGATCAAAATAAGTATTAGCAAATAATAATTAATGCATGTTTAAAGCGTGGACTGTTACAAGTCTTTCCAATGAATATAGAATTACTTATTTCTGAATAAGACAGCATGTACGATTGGGCTACGGGGCGGTCCAAGATATCTGGATGAACTACAGTCAGTTTTAGTAAAAAGGACAGTTTAGGGTTCTCCTTTTATATTATTTCCAGATTTCTCAAACTGTAAACTTTACATGGATTTTCTTTCTTCTTTTTTTGCAAGCCGGTTTCCTTACTTGAAACTCGTATTGGAATATTAATAAAAACTTAACAATAGAATATAATCAAAATTCTTAATAAAAAGTTGGAAAGGAGAAGATCGTACCTGAAAACAGCACAGTAACCTGGCGGACAGGATAGGCTCAGATCACCTAAGCCAGCTAAGCAAAACAGGATCGATAGAGTTAGTGCGACTAGCAATTTAAAAAACGGGGTGGTGGGTCTGCCCCTTTCTTAGTTATGTCTCACAATTATGCGATTTGGAGGATGTGATTGATTGTCTTCGCTGTTGTGAATTTGATTGCGTTTTCATGCGTATCTGAATTGCAATTTTCCAGTCTGAGACAGTACTGGAGAGAGGGAAAAGGGATATTTCAATTAAAATGAGATTTCTGTTGAATAGCAAGTGCCGTAGATAAAAACCTTGTTCAGCCGTTATCGATTGGGTTCACATGACAAACTGAACGAAAAGGCAGTGTGCCCATGCGTGGATTGGTGTGTGGTGGGAATCCAGCTGATGTACACAACATAGCGAAGTCCCAGCAAACTAGGGTGGCTGAGTTCATACAACATGCTAAGCTAAAATATATTTGGATAATTCGTGGTTCAGTGTACTGTGCAAACCAGCCTAGTGCTGTTAATTTATGATTCAGTATGTATGGTACTACTTTAATTCAATAAACCACAAAGCAATTAACTGAATTAATGTGTTATTGATAACCGCTAATTTTCACTGGATCTTATGATTAGATAAATATACATAGAACAATTATTCAGAGCCTCTTGTCATATGAGGAAGTGGAGTCTGCCTTCTTGTTTTCCAAATAATTAGGTATTCAGAGCTTGATTATTAATTAATGTTTCCAATGTTTAGAACTATTGCATGAGCAATACAAGCCTTACAATCATGGAATTGGGATGAGAAAGGCCTTGGGGAGATTCTAGTCAAATGCCCAGTGCAGAGCAGGAATTTTCAGGCCATCCCTATCAAGGGCTGGCCAGCCTTCTTTTCAAAATCTCCAATGATGGCACACACACAACTCCTGAAATTCTGGACATATGAGAGGCCGAGAATAGCGATTGGCATTCTGTGAGTTCATGCCTTCCTGACACCTTGAATCTGGCACTTCTCCGATTACAGTAGGACTGAAAAAACATCCCTCATAAATAAGGAGTCAAGAGACATAGCTTGAAGCTACATATTTATATCCTGTTATTTCACTATGTACCTCAGAGCAATATGCCTAGCTCAGGGGTAGGCAACACAAAACACTCAAAGAGCCACTTGGACCCGTTTCCCACCGAAAACAAAACACCGGGAGCCGCAAAACCCTTTTGACATCTAAAATGAAGATAACACTGCATATATCCTTTTTTTACCTTTATTATAGGTGTGTGTGTGTGTGTGTGTGTGTGTGTGTGTGTGTTTATGTGTGTGCATATACACACAAAGGTAAAAAAGGATATATGCAGTGTTATCCTCATTTTAGATGTCAAAAGGGTCTCTCTCTCTCTCCCTCTCTTTCTCTCTCTGCCCTTGGTCTGCCAGTTCTCTTCCCCCACTCTCTCTCTCTCTCTCTCTCTCTCTCTCCCTCTCTCTCTCCCTCCCTCTCTCTCTTTCTCTCCCCCCCCTCCTATCTGCTGCTCACCTGGCAAGCTGGCTTCAAGTTGTTCTCCAACAAGCTCAGGAGTAGGCAACCTCAGCTCTTTTATGACTCATGGACTTCAACTCCCAGAATTCCTGAGTCAGCATAGCTGGGCTAGCTAGCTCTCTCCTGCCCTTCCTGCTTCCTGCAGAGATGCAGCAAAGGGAGGAGCTCCGCCCAGTAAGCTTTTCAGCTCTTGGAGAACACCGTGAGTCCACTTTTTTTTTTTTACACACACACACATACATATATATATATATATACATATGTATGTGTCTGTGTGTGTAAAAAAAAAGAGAGTATATATATATATATATATATATATATATATATATATATATATAGAGAGAGAGAGAGAGAGAGAGAGAGAGAGAGAGAGAGAGAGAGGCAGGGAAGCGCAAGTGCCTCTCTCTGTCTCTCTCTGCAAATGGCAGAGGAGGCTGGTAGCCACAGAGGAAGGCTCAAAGAGCCGCAGGTTGCCGACCTTACTATGATATAAGTTAAAGAGTCCCTGTGTCCCAAATTCAGCTAAGCTGTGCTTTGTTTAACAGTGGTGTATTGACCAAGTATAGTAGGCAAAAGGAATTGGAGGAACGAGCTAGAGTTTCAGCCAAGAGTCAGATAAAAAGAAATCTGGGTCAGGGGTGGAAATATAATTTGAAAAAAGCAGCTCAGACAGTCCCTTTCTAGTTTCCACAAAGATGGGAGGGGTGGGAACTTTCAGACTTACAAGTTTTTATTACTATAACCTTATAATAGTAGTAGTATTAGCAGTCATAATTTTCTATTGTTGAATAGATCTGTTCTGAAGGGCTGGCTTCTAGATGCTAAATCTCAAAACAAATTTGTTGAGTAATACTATGAGGGAACCCAGTTTATAAGTGACCCTGGATGCCAACTTAGCTCTCATGGGTCCTAATTCGATACTCCAAGGACATCAGCCTGGTTTCTTCAATCTCATAAGATTCACAACTATTTCTTTTCCAGCTAGATTTCGGATTGTTTTGAAATTATAATTACCCTAATTCTTTTAGCCACATTTAATTTTAAAAAAATTGAGGTTGATGTCACATTCAGAATTTTCCTACCTGATAATGGCAGGAATATCATCTAGGAATCTGTTAGGCAAACCATGATGAAATGGAATTACAGCTTAGTATAATTAATGAACTAAAATTAATTGTGTTTCCAGATTCTATTTAAAGGGCTAGAGATCATTTTCTGCCTTTAAGAACAATGCACTCAAACTACAAAACAAAATAATAAATCAGGATATCTGTAATAAAATGAGCTTGTGTGAAATGCTCTTCTGCAATTGCCTGGCTACTCTGTCCCATCATCCCCCACAAGTGTATTTCTGGTTTAGTCCTCAGAGGGTTGTTTAGTCAGGATGACCCTACTGTAGAATTTAAAAAAATTATTGACAAGATGATTTGTACATCTGCAAACCTTGAGATTCTCCAAGCCCACTCGTTTTCAGGTGGATAGAGTTGCTTTAATTACATACCTAATTAAACAAAAAGAACAATGTCATTAACAGTTATTCTACGAACAGTCTTGGCTTTGTTCAACAAAAGATCTCTTGATAGAAAAAAAAATCTGGTTGCTGAAAGAAAATGACTTTTTGGTCTTTGCAGACAAAGCTATAATGTGTGGGAAGTGTTTATATTAAGGAGCCTTCTACACGCTTGAATTGTACCAGTCTGGGATGGGGATTACCCTCCTGGATGGCCACAGTTTTGGTGAGTTCAGAGTAGCCCACCTGATTAATGGACTGAGAGTTTCCACCAGTAGGAAACTTCTGTAGAACTTGGAATGGCCTCCCAAGCTCAGTCTAGAAGTGCACTACTCAAACCCAAGTCCAGTATGAAAATACAGGCACAGTAGCTTAGGTCAATCCATGTGCAGTGATTGAGTCATGATGGACCCAGACTGGCACAGCTACTACCCATAAGGGGTCTAAGCTGCTGTACTATTCCCATTAATGGAATCTAGAAATGTATTCATTAATGGAATCTAAGCATGACAATATTCAGCATTTTTTCTAGCTCTTGACTTCATACTGCTATAGACCCATTGTTTCTGCTTTTGCAAAAATCTTATGAATTACAGATAATAACCATGCTACTGACACAAAGGAATGGAAATGACCATTGACTGCACCTGCACAGCGAAAATGCATGGCCATTTGTATTTTTCTTTTGAAATAAGCTTTGAAAATTTTATTGCCTTTTAACATTTAATAACAATTTTCTGGAAGACTTAACATAGCTAACTCAAGCTTTAAATCATTTTTAAGAAGAACAAAATCGACCAATTTCACCCCCAGCTATGGAAACGTCCGAGGGAACTTTGTCATCATGTTCCTTCCCCAGGATCTGGAGACAATAGGGATCTGGATGGGAAAGGACAGACTTTGGCTTAACTCTAGCAAGACTGGTTGGTTATGGGTTTTAGGGTTCCCCTCATATGGGGACCTTCCATGGCAGTACTCAGTACCCAGAAAGAATGGGTGTGCAACGGGGAAGGGGGGTACTCTTGAATATTTGGTTGAAAGAGAACTGGAGCATATGGCAGCAATGGCTAGGAAAGCCCTTTCCATGATTCAATACTGAGCTTTTTCTTAGATTGAGAGATCATGGTCACTCATGATTTGGAACTTGATTGTGGTTGGATATACTATAATTTGGTTATCTTCATTTCTATATTGACAGTCATATAATCTTATTAAGATATCTTGTGATTGTCTGAAAACAAACACTATTTTGTATCAGTAATGAAATTATGATGCATGTTTTATCATGTGTCCTCCCTATCCCCGTACTGTGGACTTCTATGCCAATAAAATCTTGTTACTTCCTTGTGACTATCCAATTCTTTAAAAAAATGCATTTTCATCTTAGATTTTGACGTCTGAGTGAAGAGGCAGGTAAATGCTGGGAAATGCTGGAAAATGCTAATAAGAAGAGGTCTGAGACTTTAATCAATTCTCTATTATTTTAATTTATATAATGCTTTTTTACCTGTAAGACATTTAGGAGAATAAATATCAAAAATAAATAAATACATCAGATTGAGTTATCAATGACTTTTCCTCTTGATGGTAGTTTGTAGAACAACAGGCCACATACTTAGGAATTCTGGGAATTGAAGTCCACAAGTCATAAAAGGGCCATCGTTCCCTATCCTGCTTTAAAATACTATTTTTTCCCTTCTGTTCAATCATGTCTGATTTTTAGAGACTGCCTGGACAAGCTACTAAGGGTAAATGGCAGAAGAGGACTCTTATCTCCTTCTCCGTGCAGTGAGTTTTTGGAAAACACCTGCTCAACCATTGGAGCTGATTTCTTAATCTGGCATGACTCTTCCTAACCCCTTAGTGAAGATGGAAAGAACAGGAATAAACAGAGACCCTAAAGCAGGACTTTTCAACCAGTGGTACAGGTACCACCTGTGGTACATTGGCACCTGGCAGGTGGTACTCGACCATCCTAGAAAAGTAGTGGAGAAGGGAAATGAGCTGAACCGGTGGTAGTACCGCACAAGCCTGAGTGAGAGATGGCTGGAGCTGCAAGGCTCAGCGGAAGCGCCAGGATCCAGCTGATCGATGCTTCTTCGGGACTGTCAGGGCTCAGTGGAAGCACCAGGATCAGCGCCAGGCTCCAGCTGGAGCTCGGCACTAATCCTGGCACTTCTGAGCCCAGAAGAAGCGCCGATCAGCTGGAATGTTGCAGCATCTCCAGGGTCTTGTGATTTACATTCAGATGGTTGGCAACTGATTCATATTTATGACGGTCACAGTGTCCCAGGGTCATGTGAAGCGACAAAAACCTGCTGCAACCATCCAGCAGACGGGGGGAATAAAAACCAAACACTCCCCCACCCCACCCCCCGCTGCCAATCCTCAACAGAAATGCTCACAACAATGAAACCCTTGGAAGAAGGAAGAGCGCCGCCGGGTGGACAGGCAGGTGTCTTGCTCGGCTGTGCCTTGGGGGGCACTTTTTTCAGTGCCATTGTAACTTCAAACAGTCACTAAGCGAACTGTTGTAAATCGAGGACTACCTGCACTTTATCACTTTTTTCTTTTCTTTTTTTCTTTTTTGGTCATCAAGTTTTTGACACCTTGATAGGTGACTGGTGGTACTTGGATGTTGCCATATCCTAAAAGTGGTACAATGGGTGAAAAGGTTGAAAAGCCCCGCCCTAAAGGACTACAACCCATAGTAAGACAGCAACACAGGAAATAGGCCTTTCACACATATTCTCCAGATGGGCTTTTGAAAGCTTAGATTTCTTTAAGAGACTCTCACCTGCCAATAATGCTTGGATGGGTTTAGGACAGTTACTTTCTCATAGCTTCTAAAGACACCCCCCCCCCCAGCAGAAGATGGCTTGAAATGCAAAAAGAAAACAAATACCCATTTTCGGCAACGAACAAACTAGCATGCTGTTCAAAAAGCACCCTGAAACAGTGGGAAAAATAGCAGTTTCTTATATTTACATTGTACGGGCTATAAATACGCTAATTAAACAGCAGCAGAGAGCTACAGCAAGCCCACTTCTTCTGACATTTTTGTAGTCTACATCTGAGAGCGCTCACAATACAGAAAAATCTTTTCACCCCCTAGGAAGGAACTAATGAATCTCATTTGATTGCATACAATTGATGCTGGGACAGTACCAGGTTGCACCTGGTAACATATATTTTTTTTAAATTACTTTTTATTTGGAAAATCACCCCTTAAACCTTTCCTATTCCTCTGCTTCATGATGTTCTCAAAATTTCCGTGCTGCAGAACTGAACTTATTTAACTGGAAAAAGAACTGCTGCTAGATAGATTAATAATAAAGGATCCTAAGGGGAAAATCATAATTATTTAAATTAACTGTTTCTGGATGCCTGGATACACCCGCAGCTGGACTGCTGATGTGACTAACCTCTTTTATCATATTAACTCCTGGATTGCTGTGGGAGATTTGTAGAACCAGGGCTTGTTGGAGGATACCCGCCATGGCTACAATTTCATTTAATCATTGCAATATAAAAATTTGCAGAGAGAAGGC